TGCGCGTGCGTGTGCGCGTGCGTGTGCGTGTGCGTGTGCGTGTGCGTGTGCGTGTGCGTGTGCGTGTGCGTGTGCGTGTGCGTGTGCGTGTGCGTGTGCGTGTGCGTGTGCGTGTGCGTGTGCGTGTGCGTGTGCGTGTGCGTGTGCGTGTGCGTGTGCGTGTGCGTGTGCGTGTGCGTGTGCGTGTGCGTGTGCGTGTTCGTGTGCGTGTGCGTTTGCGTGTGTGTGTGTGTGCGTGTGTGTGTGCGTGCGTGCGTGCGTGCGTGCGTGTGTGTGTGTGTGTGTGTGTGTGTGCGCAGCCCTGGCCCGGCCAGGTTCGGTGAGGTGGTCAGTTGGCGCCCCCCGACCAATCTGGCTGTGCCCAGTGAGGGCTCCGGAGAAGGCTGGCCACGCGCAGAAGGGGGTAGGGGGAGGGGGGTAGGCTTCTTGGAAGCACCCCTGCTTCTGAGAAGGCGCGGGCCTTCGTTGTAGATGTAAGGCTGGCGCCTTCTAAGAAGCAGCCTCCTTCTAAGAAGCCTCCCCCCTTCCCCCTGCCCCCCTTGTGCGCGCCGCCAAGAAGGCCCAGCCCTTCTCACCAAACGGCAACTGGAGTTCGCCAGCGGCTCCGAGGGGCAAGGTCCTCATCGACGTGGGCCTGTACGGCAGGGTGCGCGGGGGCGCGGGCGTCGATGCCGCCAGGTTCTTCGAGGCGTGGGGGCTGGCCAACAACTCCAGGAAGATGCTGTCCCGTGGCGCTGCCGCGCGGACCCGCCCGGGCGATGGGGGGGACTTCGGCAGCAGAGGCCCAGGCTCGCGCGGCGGGGTTCCGCCAGTCCCGGTCCATTGCGATCCGAGCGCTCCGATGCCTGAAGAAGAATGAACGCCATAAATCAGGAGGGAAAAAAACACAGACACAATTAATCGTCGACTCCCAGGAAAATATGGGCAAGTACTGGAAGTGAGGAAGACAAAAACCCAGAAAATATGGGAAGATATGGGGCATAGTTTTATGTGTGTGTATTTGTTTGTGTGTCCTGGGGCCCCTTGAATAAGCATAAGATGTTGGCGCTCCGCGCGGGTTTCTTGGATCCGCGCTGGGCCCCGCCGGCGGCGCCCCCAGCGCGGCCCCCGGCGCGCGGAGCGCGCCGGGGGCGGGGTCCAGGCGCGGCTCCGAAAAAGCCCGCGCGGATGGCCGGCTCGAGGCCTGCACGGCGCTGCTGTGCAAGAGGGAAGGAAACACACAGACACAATGAATCGGCGATTCCCCAGAGGATATGGGGGCCCTTCAGTTGCGTGTTGATGTTTACGAGGAGGAGTATGTTTATTTAAGGAATATGTAGGAAAATATGAGGAATCTGTTTATTTGTGTGTTTGTTTGTGTGTCCTGGGGGCCCTTCAGTTGTGCACGCACCCTGGCGCGGCCGATGTGGTTCGCTTCGGAGTCCGTGCCCGTGCAGCTCGATTCGAAGCATGTTCCCGATGTTCCGATGCCGTGTTAATAGGGGGAAAACGCACCTACCTCGCTCTTTGACCACCCTCGCTTCCAAGAGATACCAAACGATGCCAAACTACGGCCTGCACTGGTCAGGCCGCTTGACGAGGAGGCGCGTGGTATGACTTGGTTTTGCCTGGAAGCGAAAGCGGGGTAGGTCATTCACGCTCCGAGTTAAGTCGGGCATGTCCCTCTACAGGAGAAAGATCCCAAAATGGTCAAAACGTAGTCCGGGGGCGATGTTTCCACCATGCCTGCCTATGTTTGAGTAGGTTTTTGTTTGACTATGTTTGAACTGTCGCCCAGGATCCGCCTGCAGGAGGACATGCCCGACCTAAATTCCGTGTTGGCGGTTCTTGCCCGATCTGTCCAGGCTGGCCCAGATCTGGGAGCCCGCGTTGGGCAGGCCCCCCTCGGGCCAGACGAAAGGGGGGGGATTTGGAGAGGGCGGGGTACGACATCTGCTGCACGCAGCTGGTTTCGGGCCCCGCCGCCGGGCCCGTTCCTCGACACGTGAACGCCGCCCAGCGCCGGGAGGCGCCGGGAAAATCAGCTACGCGAGCTGATTCTCACCCCTCGGGTGTTGCTAGAGGTGCCCCTGGGCCGAGGTGCCCCCAGGGTCGCCTGGCACGGCCTCAGGACTTCCGCTCAGACCAGCTCGCTAGAACAAACCTTGACATATGATACCATGACCGCGGCTATCGAGAACCAGTGTTGACACCTGCGTGGGCTGGACGCAAGGTCACCGTGGGCTATCCCCCCCTTTGCTATCCCCCCCTTTGCTGTCACCTGGGTGCGGTTACCCCCCCCTTTGCTATCCCCCCCTGTCGCCCCGCCCGATCCCTCTCCCCTCCCTTCGCTGGCCGGGGTTCGGGAGCTGCCTCGTGGCCCGCCCAGGTTCGCCACACGGCTTTGGTGGGCCCAGGTCTGCGTTGACCAGGAGGGGAAAAAACACACAGACACAATTAATCGTCGACTCCCCAGAAAATATGGGAAAATATGGGAAGTGGGGGGGGGAAGAACAAAAAACAGAAAATATGGGGAATCTTTTTATTTGTGTGCATTTATTTGTGTGTCCCAGGGCCCCTTCAGTTGACCCAGGCCAGAGCACGGCTGCACGGTGCCGACGTATCCACGGCATGGAGACGCGGCACCCTTCCATGAGCATGCGTTCGCGCATACGGTCAACCATGATAATAAGGATGGGGCAGTTTTCAAAGGTTGCCCTTGCATCCTTGCCCCTTCGGCATTCGGCATCCTTCGGCATTGTGCTGCGCTTCGCACGGAAAACGTCAACATGGCGTTCCAGGGCCCATGCATCCTCCTTACCGCGCATCCTTGCTATCCTGGTCGACTGTACCTGTGGGGCCTCGTGGGGCCCGCGGGTTGTCTAGGGGGCATCTGGGCTGTTTGGGGGCCGTCTGGGGCCAGCCGTTGGCCGTCTTTGAGTCGTCTAGAGACGGTTCGTGCCGTCTCGTCTTAGGGTGGTCTCGGATACGGGGGTACCTGGAGGCCCTCCACCGCTCGGAGGCCGCTTGGAGCAGCCGGGGACTTTGTGGATTCAACCTTGGCTCCTCCCTGGCTGGTACAGAGGAAACCCATGCCAAGAAACACCCTGCTTGCCTACAGGGTGCCCAGGGTTTCTTGGGTTTCGATGGTTTTGCGATGGACAGCGTGACGTTCCCACACCACAAATCAATGGACGTCCTGGGGTCTCAGGGTTGGGTTTCTTGTGGTCGGGCTCCTACTGTGATTGGTGCAGACACATGTGATATCCCCCGCGCTTTTCCACTGTTCTTTTTGTTGCTTGCCCTGGGCTACGCGTGTCCTGGGGGCCTAAAAAAAGAGGGCCTGCTGGGGACCTGTTCGGCGGTGTCGAGCCGTCTTGGCGGGTCTTGGAGCGGCTTCCCCCCAGACATCGGCGAACACGGCCCACGTCCCGCCGCTCCATTTTTTCCCAACCATCTTGTGGTGTTGGGTCCTCGTTTTGAAGAGACGGTGCCCCGCGTTACTCTCCTCTCCTCTCCTCTCCTCCTCCTCTTCCCCCTCCTCCCTCCTCCCATCAGCATCATCATCATCATCATCAGCATCAGCATCAGCATCATCATCATCATCATCATCATCATCGTCATCACCCACCATCATCGTCATCATCACCATCATCGTCACACCTCTCACACGCTTTGTGGCCCCATAGGGAGCTCCACCGAAGGCCCCAGTGCTGCCGCCCGCATGCGTCAGCCACACCCAGTTCGGCACACCCCTCACACGTTTCGTGGCCCCATAGGGAGCTCCACCGAAGGCCCCAGTGCTGCCGCCCGCATGCGTCAGCCACACCCAATTCGGCACACCCCTCACACGTTTCGTGGCCCCATAGGGAGCTCCACCGAAGGCCCCAGTGCTGCCGCCCGCATGCGTCAGCCACACCCAATTCGGCACACCCCTCACACGTCCATTCCCGAAGGCCCCAGTGTGGCCCGCATGCGTCAGGGACGCGTCCATAGGGCCGAAGGCCCCAGTGCTGCCGCCCGCATGCGTCAGCCACACCCAATTCGGCACACCCCTCACACGTTTCGTGGCCCCATAGGGAGCTCCACCGAAGGCCCCAGTGCTGCCGCCCGCATGCGTCAGCCACACCCAATTCGGCACACCCCTCACACGTTTCGTGGCCCCATAGGGAGCTCCACCGAAGGCCCCAGTGCTGCCGCCCGCATGCGTCAGCCACACCCAATTCGGCACACCCCTCACACGTTTCGTGGCCCCATAGGGAGCTCCACCGAAGGCCCCAGTGCGCCGCCCGCATGCGTCACCCACACCACAATTCGGCACACCCCTCACACGCTTCGTGGCCCCATAGGGAGCTCCACCGAAGGCCCCAGTGCCGCCCCGCATGCGTCAGCCACACCCCGGCAAGGCCCCGAAGGCAGTGCCGCCGCCCGCATGCGTCAGCCACACCCATTCGGCACACCCCTCACACGTTTCGTGGCCCCATAGGGAGCTCCACCGAAGGCCCCAGTGCTGCCGCCCGCATGCGTCAGCCACACCCAGTTCGGCACACCCCTCACACGTTTCGTGGCCCCATAGGGAGCTCCACCGAAGGCCCCAGTGCTGCCGCCCGCATGCGTCAGCCACACCCAATTCGGCACACCCCTCACACGCTTTCGTGGCCCCATAGGGAGCTCCACCGAAGGCCGCAGTGCCGCCGCCCGCATGCGTCAGCCACATCCAATTCGGCACACCCCTCACACGTTTCGTGGCCCCAGCCCGCATGCGTCAGCCACACCCATTTCGGCACACCCCTCACACGTTTCGTGGCCCCATAGGGAGCTCCACCGAAGGCCCCAGTGCCACCGCTCGCATGCGTCCCGCACACCCATTTCGGCACCTCCACCAAACACAGCGTTTCGTGGCCCCACAGGGACCTCCACCGAAGGCCCCAGTGGTGCCGCCCGCATGCGTCACCCCCACCCCAGCACAGCATTTCGTGGCCCCACAGGGAGCTCCACCGAAGGCCCCAGTGGTGCCGCCCGCATGCGCCACCCCCACCCAGCACAGCGTTTCGTGGCCCCACAGGGAGCTCCACCGACGGCCCCAGTGGTGCCGCCCGCATGCGTCACCCCCGCCCAGTACAGCGTTTCGTGGCCCCACAGGGACCTCCACCGAAGGCCCCAGTGGTGCCGCCCGCATGCGTCACCCCCACCCAGCACAGCGCTTCGTGGCCCCACAGGGAGCTCCACCGAAAGCGGCACCCGCAATGCGATATTCACAACTGCACATGGTTGGGTCCTTCGCCAGGATAATTTGTTGGAGCGTCGGCTCTCTGGGTCGGGGGTCTTGGGGGCAGCCTCTGAGCCGTCTGGGCGAGACTGGGGCCCGTCTTGGGCCGATCCCTTCCGCCGCGGTGGGCGCGTCCTGCGGTGGCCTTGGCCCCGCCGGCCTCCGCCTCGCGCCTCGTACCTTCCGTCTTCGTGCGCCTGCTTCTGCACCTCTTCGCAGCCGCAGGCAACAGCCCCGAAGCCCCTCGAGCAGTGAAGAAGTCACGACGGGAGGCTCTGCACCATGCTGGGCCCTTTGGGGGCCCTCGCTGCGCCTCGGGGCCGTTGAGCAACGACTCGGGATGAAGAGCCTGTCCTGGGGAATGCGTCGAGACCTCGGGGGTCGGCGTTGCGAAACACTCACGACGTCCGGGGCCTTGGGTCCCGGCCACTGCGGCGCGGGAAGCTCCCAGAAGGGGCCACCAGGTCTGGTCTTGGGCCGTCATAGGGGCCTTTCTTGTCCCGAGGCACCGCGCGAGAGCGGGGAGGCGGCCGGGGGCAGAGTCTGTGCCACCGTTCCACTGGGATCGGGCCAGACGAAAGGGGGGATTTGGAAAGATGGGGGGTACGAAATCTGCTGCATGCAGCTGGTTTCGGCCCCACCGAGTGGCCCATTCCTCGATGCATGGCCGCCTCGGTCGCCGGGACGCGCCAGGAAAATCAACTACGTGAGCTGATTCTAAAACCCTCCCTTTGCTATCCCCCCCTTTCGCCCGGCGCCCGGCCCGATGGGAGCCTCTGAAGCGAAGCGCCTCTCATAGAATGCCGATGCACGACCCTCCCTGCTTTGCGTGTGTGGGGGGTGGGGGAAGGGGGGTGGGCCTCCTCGCCAGCTCGCCAGGAAAGATGTGATTATATGGGAGCGCGCGCAGCGCAGCAGCGCAGCAAAACGAGGCGGCGGATACTCACAGAACTACTACTCCGCGAGCGACTTCTGGAGACCTCCAGTGATGTTCTGCCCGCGGGCGTACCGCCAGTTGCGCCAGAAGTACAAAGCGGAGGGGCGCCTGGTGGATTTGTACGACAAGGTCGGCGACTCGACCAGCACTGTGGCTGTCTCCAGGCAGGGAGCCAAGTATTGGGCCTGGTGGCTGCTGACGAAGCTGGTATAGAGGGTACCAGTTGGAGTATAAAAGGCCCTTTCCTCCTGCACCCCCCTCCCCGCCCCAAAACCCTCCCCCCTTCTCATCACCCTCCTGGAGCCTCTGTGTTCCCGGCCTGGAGATACGCGAAGGACAGGAGAGGGGCACGCTTGAACATTGGCGATGCGGTGTGCTCACACTCTGTCCGAGTCCTCCTCATCGAGCCCAGGGGCATGTGGCATTTGTCCGATCCCACCACCGCGCCTGCGTTGTGAACCGGGGGTCGCTTGGGGTCCTTTGGAGGCACCTTGGAGGCCTCTTGGGCGCCTCTGGGGGCCTCTTGGGTGTCTCTTGGGGGGGCTCTTTCGGGGGACTCCTGGCGATCTCGGGGGCCATCTTGGCACAAGAGAGCTTCCGGGGGAGTAATTATTGTTTCAGCGCCACAGGGTATCTGCAAGTATAGCGCGGGTTTGCCTGCAGCGCGTGCTAATGGGCAGTCGGGACGATGCCCGCAGCGGCTGAAAGGCATCCAGAGCGGGTCGTCTGCATCGCAGGGAGCCCCGCATTGGCATGGGGCGCTCGGGAGTATAGTCGGGCCGAACGAAAGGGGGGGATAGGGAAAGGGCGGGTTACGAAATCTTCGGCATGCACCTGGTTTCGGCCCCGCCGCCGGGCCCATTCCTCCATATATGTATACATGGGCGCCTCCCGGCGCCGGGAAGCGCTGGGAAAATCAGCTGCGTGAGCCGAGTCTCGAACCCCCCCCCAGTTGCTATCCTCCCGCTTCGCCCGGCCCGACACGCGCAGGGAGGATGAGGCAAATTGCCAGGCTGCTGCCACACAGGCCGACCCCCGACTTCGTGAGCAGTTGAGATGGCGGCGGGAGCACCCCGGGGTTTGCCCGCACTGCCCGTGCCGCGCTCGGCCCCGCCCTGCGCCCAGGGCACGGAGGAGCACGGGGGGGCCCTGATCTCCCAGAGCGTTGGCACCGTAGCCTTGCACGCCTGTGTAGGGGGTACCAGGAAGGCTTGACACCTCGGCTGGAACCTGAGCTCAAGGGTCCTGTCGGCGGCGAGCGAGGGGGGGAAGCAAGAAGGAGAAGGCCCTCTCGGAAGGCGACGGGGCTTCTCGGAGGCCCTCGCGCCTGTGGAGACGTGTTCTGTGTCTCCGGGGGGAGGCTTGGAAACTTTCTCAGAAGGCCGTGGGACTTCCGAGCCTTCTGGGAAGGCCATCAAAAAGGGGAAAGCAGCATAAACAGAAACTGTCGACGCTCCGCGCGGATGTGCGCTAGGCCCCCCCAGCGGCGCCTCCGGCGCCGCCCCTGGCGCGCTCCGCGCGCCAGGGGGGGGGTCCAGCGCAGATCCAAGAAATATCCGCGCGGAGCGCCAAAAGTTCCTGGGAATGCCGCTGCTCCTTCTTCCAGGCCCGCCCCATTCTCGCGTCCCCTCCCCTGCTTGGCATCGCTCGGACGTGTGCGTTTTTTCCTCGGCGAGGACCCTCGAGGAGCATCCTTGATAAATTGGCGAAAAACCACGCACGAAACCGAACAAAAACACAGGGAATGGACGTCCGAGCGATGGCCAGCCTGGGCTCGCCGCCGAGTCTGGCGCCACGCTGCACGAGCCGATGAGCCCGCACGGGAGCATGGGGGGGGGGCAGGCCCCAGAACCCTCAAGGGGGGCGACCTGGCCTTCCTCGGCGCCCGTCGCCTCTCCGGCCCCCCCTCCCCCCCGGGGGGCAGACTCTGGCGCGCCGGTCGAGCGGGACGTGGTTTGGATTCGAGGTTCGAGGTTTTTGGACGTGTTCGCCGTTTCTCGGCGGCTTTCCAGCCTCGGGGTGATTGTCGGAAGCTGCGCCTCGCCGAGGGCGTTCCGGGGGTGCCCGAATCGTCCCGAACGGCCGCCGGAGACCCGAGTTGTGACCCAAAAACCAAAAACCAGTGGAGGCCCATGCCAAGAGACACCCTGCTTGCCTCCAGGGTGCCCTGGGGTTGCTTCGGCGTCGATGGTCTTGCGATGGACAGCTTGACGCTCCCACGCCAAGAATCGCTGGACGTCCTGGGGTCTCGGGGTGGGGCGTCCTGGGGAAGGTCTCTCGTGGTCGGGCCGGTACTGCACAGCAGGTTCGCGTCGTGTCGACCGGCGGCGGCCCCGCCGCCGGCGTTCCACGCTGAACGCCGCCGACGACCCAGGATCGGTCGATGTCGGTCAGGAGGGGGAAGAATCACACGGGCACAATGAATCGTCGGCTCCCCAGGAAATGTAGGAAGACATGGGAAGTGGGGGGGAAGACGAAAACCCAGAACATGTAGGGAAATAGGGGGGATCCTGGGATTTGTGTGTACTTGTGTGTGTGCCCTTGTGCTCCTTGAGATGTTCTGTGTGCATTTCTGTGTGTATTTATGTGTGTATTTATGTGGCCTTGCGCCCCTGTGTAGTTCTGTGTGCCCTTGTGCCCCTGTGTATTTCTGTGTGTCTTTCTGTGTGCCTTTGTGTGTGTGCCCTTGTGCCCCTTGAGATGTTGGTTGACCTGACGTGCCCGGAGCGGCCGATCGTTCAGGGGCGAACGGCCCCCGCGGTGTCGGAGACCAGCGCCAGGGTCGTCACGACACGCACCTGACGTTCAGTTTCAGTCGGGTTTGTCCCTCTACAGGGGGAAGGTTCAAAAATAGTAAAAAAATAGTTGGGGATAGTCAAACATAGCTTTAAAATAATCAAGAAATAGGCAAAATAGTCCAAATAGTCAAAAATAGTCTACAGGGGGAATATTCAAAAATAGTCAAACATATTTTTTTAAATAGTCGATGTCGGTGCCGATTCCAGCCTTGCGTCGGGCGTGTGCCTCCACGGGAGGAATGTTCGAAAGGAGTCAACAAAATGGTCTGAGCACGATTGTCCTGGTACCTCTTGTGAGTCTTGAGAATTGCTCCACTCTGTGTAGCCTTTCCTCCAGAATCCACCTGTAGGAGGACATGCCCGACCTAATTCCAGCCAGCCTCGTCCGATCCGGTTCCCACAAGATTCGAACGATCCGATGCGGCCCGATGTTTGCATGGCGTTGTCGTGTATCCTGGCGCAGCCGCTCCGATTCGATCCTGGCTCCGTCACGATGAACCCCGGTCCGACGCACATTCCGATCCGATGCGACTTCCCGACCCAAGGCTGGCTGGTCTTTGCCCTGAAGGCCCTCGAGAGCAGGGCGCCGCAGCAAACGACAGGGCCCCGGCGGCTGGTGTCTGGAAGTCTCCTCCAGCCTTTGGGGGCCGTTCTCCGGTCTCCTCTCCTCCTCCTCCTCCTCCTCCTCCTACTCCTACTCCTACTCCTACTCCTACTCCTACTCCTACTCCTACTCCTACTCCTACTCCTCCTCCTCCTCCTACTCCTACTCCTCCTGACTGACGTCCTGCCCTGGGACCGTCCGAAGAATGGCTCCAGACGAGGAGCCCGCCTTCGGGACTGGGTCGAGGTCCCGACCGCAGGGCACCGGAGGAGAGGGAGCCCGCGCCGCGCACCGCGGTCAGGGCGCCGTGGCGGCCGGGCCACGCCTTCATGCAGACGCGGTTCGGCCTGCTGGGCATGTCCCGCGGCAACGGCAGCGCCCCCCCCCGCGCCCCTCTCGTCTGGAGCCCCCAGCAGATTCATGGGCATGGATCGGGCTGGACGAAAGGGGGGGATTGGGAAAGGGGGGGGGGGGTACGAAATTTGCTGCATGCAGCTGGTTTCGGCCTCACCGAGGGGCCCATTCCTCGATACATGGCCGCCTCCGGCGCTATTCTCAAACCCCCCCTTTGCTACGCGAGCTGATTCTCAAACCCCCCCTTTGCTATCCCCCCCTTTCGCCCGACCCGAGCATGGAGTTCGGGGCCCGCGCGGACATCCCAGTGCAACGTCGGCACCTCCAGCAGGGACAAAGTCGCGACGAGCGGTCTCCCTCTCTCTGTCTTTTCAGGGGACCCGTCTCCCAGTCGCTTCCGGCCCTGGGACCGTGCAGGAGCGGCGCAGGGTGAAGATTCTGTCTCCCAAGGGAGGGGCTGAGATCCTCGGGGAGGAGGAATAGAAGGAGGAGGAGGAGGAGGAGGAGGAGGAGGGCGGGAGGGCGGGAGGGAGGGGGGTGCAGGGTGGGGCTCGTGCAAAAGTGCGCCGTCGGGGGAGAGGAGGGGCGTGTGTGGCTGTGGGGGCAGCGGCATCGGAGAGGTCTCTCGCCGCGGGGTTTCGATTAGTCAGCAGCCGCTGCTCGCCTGAGAGCGTCATGACGAACGAACAACACACACCCATACCCATAAGGGGGCCGTTGGGAGGAGGACTTGCTATGGGTATGGGTGCGGCTGATCGGACCCTAGGGAACGCTCCCGTTCGAGCGGGGACCCCCATCCGACAACACGCACCCATAGCCCTTTCCGACCCCCCTATGGGTATGGGTGTGTGTTGTTGGTTCGTCACGTCAGGGGGCTCGGAGCCAGCTCCGCAGAGCTGCCCCGTCACGGCATTTGGGGCATGCGCCTTGGATGCTGCGCCTGCAGCAAGCACCACAGTTCGGATGAAGTCGTACAGTCGGGGCCTTGAAGAAGGAACCCTTTTCGTTGGGGAGGGGCTCCGCGTTCCTTACGTGTTTCGCAGCTTGCCTCAGGTTTTCCTTGCGTTTCCGATCGGAAATCGAAGTTTAACTCGTGGAAACAAGGGGCCTCGTTCTTTATGTTGGGTTCCGTAGGTCAAGCCCCCGACTGTATCCTATTGCTGTGGCCGAGGGGGTTCGGCAGCGCGAGCTGCCGATGGCCTGCGCGAGCCTGCTGCTCTGGCACATTCCACTCCGCTCCAGCATTGGAGTACAGTGGGGGCGCGTGCCAAGAAACCAGTTGGATTTTGCCAGGGTGCCTTGGGTTTCTTGTATTTCAATGGGCCCCAAATAAAATCTTGACGATTTCCGATCGACAAATGTGGATTCTCACTGAACAAATCGCGGATTTCAGGGTTGGGTTTCTTGCGGAGGGTTCTTGTGGCCGAGCCCCCACTGTAGAGGGCGCACGAGCAATAAAAGCAGACGTGATGTCGAACTTCACCTGCGCCACGCAAAGAATTGGGTCGTCTGCGCCAGCATTGGCGCGCAAGCTTCCCGCGTGAGCTCGCGCGTGAGCGCCCTCGTCTCCACTGTAGCGTGCCGCGCTGGCGGTCGCGTAAGCCGCGGCGTAAGGTCGCTAGGTCACCTCGCGCAAGACCCGTTCCTGATCGTCGCTCACCTTCTCTCACCGAGCGCGTTCCACTACTCGCAAAGTGCTTATTCGCAAACGTCCGAAGAAAGCATGCCTTCCTCTATGTAGTGCAGCGTACATCCCCCGCCGCGGATCCAGGCCACTTGCGAGTGGTAATGTTGCGAGCAGTGGAGCGCGCTTGTCCATTTTCTGGTCCACATTGTCGCAGGGATGTCCAGGCTTCGCAAGGCGAGCGTGCTTGTTATTCATTATTTTGCCGATCGGCGCGAGCCCTCGCGCCCCCCCCCCCCCTCCGTGGAGTAGATCTTGGCTGTTTCAGGCGCCTGTTTCAGGCAGGGGGAGCCTCCCCTCATAGGACGCACAGTCGCAGACAGTCGCCATAGGCAGAGGGTCGGAGCCACACACACACCCCTCCCCCCCACTTCCGCCCAACGTCGAAACGCCGACAAAAAACGCTCACACAGGAGGAGTATTCAAAAACACTCCAAGAAAAGCAGTCTGGGGACGATGGTTCTAGCATGTGTCTGCCATTTTGGGGCACGTCGTGGGGTATTTAATGTCTGTTGTCCAAGATCCGCCTGTAGGGGGACACGCACACGGACACGATCACGAGCACGCACACGCGCACAAACAGTCCAGCCGGAGGCCGACCCGCGAGAGGTTGGCGCGCACGGGCCCGTGATTTTAGCGAACTGCGCGAAGCTCCTCCGCCTCCTCCTCCTCCTCCTCCTCCTCCTCCTCCTTCTCCGCCTCCTCCTCCGCCTCCTCCTCCTCTTCCTCCTCCTCCGCCTCCACCTCCTCCTCCTCCTCCTCCTCCTCCTCCTCCTCCTCCTATTCGTTCTGCCGAAATGTCCACGCGTGGCCCGCGGCGCCTCCCTCGTCCATCACATTGGCCCACGGTCCCGGCGGACTTGCGCGGGGCGGCATTCGGTGGAACCCCGGAGGGACGCAGGAAAGCTACGACGAACATGTGAGTTCGGCAGCGGCCTGGAGGGGCGAGGTTCCGTGCGGGCGTGCGTGAGGCGGTGTTCCGTTGGACCCCCCAGAGGCGCAGGTCAGTTGCAGGCACCCCCCGGAGTGGCGAGGGTCCGTTCTGGGTTTGCGTGGGGTGCATTTCCGCGAGGCCTCCCAGAAGGTATTGACGGGGAGATGGGGGAGGAGGAGGATGAGGAGGAGGAGGAAGAAATGGAGGCATGCGTGAGGAGTCGGTAGAAGGAGGAGGTGAGCAACATGCGCTCTGTTCAAAGCGAAGGCCCGGCCAAAACAGGGTAGGGATACGAAGAGTTCGCTGAAGCGTAGGGTGGAGGTCCAGCTGAGTTTTCTGGTTTAGCCAGGGTATTGGCGATTGAGCGTGGGTCGCCTGTTTTCCTGCGGGGTAGAGAAGTGCATCGAGGGGGGAGCACAGGATGAGCAGGATAGCCCCACGTCGTCCTCCCGCTTATCCACTGACCCTCCTCATCTCATCTACGTTACCCTCATCTACCTCGTCGTCCTCGTCGTCCTCCTCTTCCTCATCCTCCTCCTCCTCATCCTCCTCCTCCTCCTCTCCTCCTAAAGTTCGGCACCGCGCCCTGAACCGAGGGAACGCCCAGAGCTGCTACCACATGGTGTCCCAGCTTGCCAAGAGCCCGCAGTTCATCTAGGTAGGCCTTCTGGCCAGTCCGTCCACAGATGCGAGGTTTGGTCAGCACTGGAATTCCGTCCTGCAGGCTCGGTCAATTTGCGGTCCGAGGGTGTTGTTTTGTAAGTGCCGGTCAGGAGGAGTCGTGCGGGAAGGGACGGGATCCAGGGAAGGTGAAGGCAGAATGGGCAGCGAAAAAGGCACCCATGCTTGATGCACCCTCGATCTGGTGCCAGCTGATCACGAGGATCCAGACGATGCTGTGTTGTCATGTTGTACGTTCCCCGTCAAGTCTTAATCGTTCACCGCTGCAGCTACCTCGATATCATGGTATGTTGCTGAGTCGTACTGTTTGTTCGTGCCTCTGAGTTCGAATTGCCCTACCACCTCGCAACACATCCCTGCTTGATACATTATGGTATCCACGTGATGCTCGCTAGTGCCTCCCGTGTGCGTGCCCGACGCCAGTTAATTATCTGCAACGATTCTTGCCATGTTGACTTGAACAAATCTTGGCCGATTGGCCCAGTCGGAGGATATCGCTCGCGAGAATGGGCCCGCGGTTGCCTGACGTTTTTTTCTTTCGTGGGGGGGGGCTTGGTGGCCAGAACGCAGTTCACTGCCATCAACGATGGACGCATGCCCTTCCCCTTCAAGAGTGATGTGGCTCCGTCCATTCCGATCCGATCTCGATTGCGGTCGGCCCGAGCCGTCTGTCGCGTCGATTAGCGTTCGGGAGTCGGGATGGCGCCGCTTGAGCGTCGGTTAGCGTCGATTAGCGTAAATTCAGCGCTTCTATTGGCGTTGATGTAGCGTCGATTAGAGTCGAATCGCAAGAGCCGACAAGATGGTATGTGAGGCTCCTATGAGGAGCCGCCAAGGCGTTGCTGTGCATTCTGGCGCAGGCCCATCTGATCCGAGTTCGGTCCCGCACCAAGGCGGCCCGATCCGACGCACGCTCCGAGTCGGCCCGACTCCGCCCAAGGCCCACGGCGCCCGTGGAGGGTTCCCCGAAGGGCTTAGGCGACCCGTCCTCCTCCTCCTCCTCCTCCTCCTCCTCCTCCTCCTCCTGCTTCTCCTCCTCCTCCTCCTCCTCCTCCTCCTCCTCCTCCTCCAGGCGGCTCCCCAGCGAGGCCCCGCGCAGCCGTCTTGCCCCTCGGGCGGCCGCGGACGGGGACCATGGGAGAGCCCCCAGCGCCGAGGGCGCGACGCACCGGTGAAGGCAGCCTGCCTGCTGGCGCCGCCGGCCGTGGCTCTATGTGGTGTGCGCCCCCGACGGAGGTGAGGCGCCCCGCGGCGAGCAAAAGCCAGCGGCGCGCATGGAGGAGGCTGCTCCTGGCGACCAGCCGCCAGGCCGCCCTGGACCACGGGCTGGTCGAGCTGGATTTCGGCGCCTGGCCAGCCACGCCCCTCGACTACGGTTTCGTCGAGGGCTGGCTGCAGGAACCCGCGCGCGAGAAGCGCGAGAAGTGGGAGGCGACGGTGGTGCCCAACACGATCAGCTACAGCGCTGAGACCTGCCCCGCAAGCCTCGAGCCTGGGACCAGCGACTACGCGACGTGGGAGGCGAAGATGGGGCCCGATACGATCAGCTACAGCGCTGGGACCATGTTATGCGAGAAGGGGGAGGCGAAGTTGGAGCCCACCGTAACCAGCCGCAGAGACACGGCGGGATGCGAGAAGCTGGAGGCGAAGACGAAGGTCGAGCCCAACGTGACCAGCTACAGTGCAGAGGGCCCATGGGCGGAGAGGGAGGCGAAGACAGAGCCGAACTTGATCAACTACAGTGCCGAGGCGCGCGAGAAGGAGCGAGAGGCGTACGAGCGAGACGGGCGAGCAGTGGCTGCTAAACTGGCGAAGCTGGAGCCCGATATCGTTTGCTACTCCTCGTCGAGCCTCGTCGCCACGGCTGGATCAGAGAAAACGGTTTGTGAGCAGCGCGTGAAAACTGTTTGCGATAATTGTGAGAGCGAGCAGAGCGAGAAGGGGAAGGCGAAGATAGAGCCCGACATCACCCGCTACAGTGCTGGGATCAGGGCGTGCGAGAGGCGGAAAGCGAAGCTGGATCCCGACATCACTAGCCACAGTCCTGGGATCAGCGCGCGCGAGAAGTGGGAGGCAACCAGCGAGCCCAACACCATCAGCCTCAGCGTTGAGACCAGGGCGCGCGGGAAGGGTGAGGCGAAGATGGAGCCAGCTATCGTCGTTAGCCACAGTACTGGGAACAGCGCGTGCGATACGCGGGAGGCGCTGATTGAGCCCGTCACCGTCGGCTACAGCGCTGGGACCAGGGCGCGCGAGAAGGAGAAGGCGAACCTGGAGCCATTTCCCGAACCCGACATCGCTGGCCACAGTATTGAGAACAGCGCATGCGAGAAGGGGGAGGCGAATACAGAGCCCAACACCATCAGCTGCAGCGCTGGGATCAGGGCTTGCGAAAAGGGGGAGGCGAAGCTGGAACCCGACCTCGTCAGCTACAGCGCGGGGACCTGCGCGTGCGAGAAGGGGAAGGCGAAGCTGAGCAGCTACAGCGTCAGCAGGGCCATGTGGTACGCACGCTCCCAAATCGCCAGCACATGGCTAGAAGGCGGCGAAGCGATAGAGCCCAACGCCATCAGCTACAGCGTTGGAATCCAATGGGAAGCGGAGGACGTACATGGAGTGTGGGGGGCCCTTCCGAGGGCTGACCAGAAAAAGGTGGAGAAGCGATATCAAAGATACCTCCACGGTGGTGAGGAAAGCGGCAAGTTCACGATCACAGGGTCGAACGGGAGGCCCACGTGGCCCCTCAGAGCAGATTTCGACAACATGCTGCTCCTGAGGGCCACAAGGGCGAAGGCTTCGATCAAAAGCGTCAGGATACGCAGAGTGTACATGCGCTGCGTGAGAAAGGAGTTTATATGCTGTTTGAGTGAATTGCAGTATGGTTGTGAGAAGTGAGAGAAATGCAGAAGCTGTGAGGAGGACCAGCACCGCCTCGCGGGGCGGAGCCAGGGAGGAGACTGCAGCGCCCTGCAGGCGCGCCCAGCCGCGGGCTGTGGCGCCGAGGGGCCGACGCCGCCCCATACCCAGCGAGGGAGCCACTTGAGAATGGGGGCATGCCCTGGGGAGGGGCGAGGGCGTCGGGGTAGTGGGGGGCGGTGGCCAGACGGTCGCGCAGCCTCCCGCGGCGCCCGAGCGCGGCCGCCCCATACCCCGAGAGGGAGCCCCTTGAGAATGGGGGCATACCCGGGGGAGGGGCACAAGCGCCGGGGCGTCGCGAAGCTTCTCGACCAAGTCGTCAGGGAAACAGTATGGAAACACTCCTCCTCCTCCTCCTCCTCCTCCTCCTCCTCCTCCTCCTCCTCCTCCTCCTCCTCCTCCTCCTCCTCCTCCTCCTTCCTCCTTTCCCCTCCACCTCCTCCTCCTCCTCCTCCTCCTCACTCCTCCTCCTCCTCCTCCTCCTCCTCCTCCTCCTCCTCCTCCCTCCTCCTCCTCCTCCTCCTCCCTCCTCCTCCTCCTCCTCCATCCTCCTCCTCCTCCTCCTCCTCCTCCTCCTCCTCCTCCTCCTCTCCTCCTCCTCCTCCTCGGGTCGCCTACGGCCCTGGGGGAAACCGTGCAGGCGCCCGTCCCCCCCCCCCTAGCGCGGCTCTCTCACGCAGCCCCTCGGCAGGGCTCGCTTCGCCGCCAGATCTTGGGCAAATGGGGGCCCCAGCGTCTCAGGCCCCCCAGGCGGGGTCCGCGCAGACGGGGGTCGGAGGATCGCGCCGCGTCGTCGATGCACTGGCGATGCGGCTCGATGCACGCCGAGGGTGCTGATGCGTTGCCGACGCCGCCCAGCGCGTCGCCGATGCATCGGTGATGCGGCGAGGTCCTCCGACCCCAGTCACAGTGGAGACCCATGCCAAGAAACACCCTGCTGCTCGCCTCCAGGGTGCCCTGGGCTTCTCAGGCTTCGATGGTCTTGCCACGGAACGCGGGACGCTCCCACGCCAAAAAACGATGGACGCCCTGGGGTCTCATGGTTGTGGTCGGGCCCCCACTGACACTGCATTCGGACCCCTATCTAGGAGGCCTCCGAGCGTGTCGCGCCGCCCTGGAGCCCCCTCGGGCCCCGTGGACCTCTGGGGGGGGGGCTGCTGCGGGGCCGCCTCCACCGGGCTCGTGGGGCCTGCAGAACCACGCGGGCCCTCAAAATTTAAGTCGGGCATGTCCCTCTGCAGGAGGAATGCTCAGACACATGCGCGTTTTATTATTACTCCTGGAGAATTGCCCTGCGACGTACCCAACCCATGTGCATCAAGTGGCAAAAGGAGTAGGCCAACACAAGCAGGAACAACGACAGTGTAGACGCGGTGAATTGCCGCGCAAACTACGTGGGATGTGCATGCGTTGCACGACTCACAGGACGACGATCGAAAGAACGCGGATTGAGGCCCCAGACTCGAAGAATAACGGGGACAGGAACGAGGGGCAGGAGAAGGATGGAATGGTGCGTAATCTGAATCTGCGTATGACCCCACTCCGCTGGGCCCCCCAGCAGCCCTCGAAAGTGGCGACAGATTCGCAGATCGCAGCCCCCCAGGGATGGCGAGGTCTAATCTGAATCTGCGTATGACCCCACTCCGCTGGGCCCCCCAGCAGCCCTCGAAAGTGGCGACAGATTCGCAGATCGCAGCCCCCCAGGGATGGCGAGGTCTAATCTGCATCTGCGTATGACCCCACTCCGCTGGGCCCCTCAGCAGCCGTCGACAGTTGCGACAGTTTCGGAGATCGCAGCGCCCCAGGGATGGCGAGGTCTAATCTGCATCTGCGTATGACGTCACTCCGCTGGGCCCCCCAGCAGCCGTCGAAAGTGGCGACGGTTTCGCAGATCGCAGCCCCCCAGGGATGGCGAGGGCTTACCTGAATATGCGTAAGACGTCACTCCGCTGGGCCCCCCAGCAGCCCTCGAAAGTGGTGACAGATTCGCAGATCGCAGCCCCCCAGGGATGACGAGGTCTAATCTAATCTGCGTCTGCGTATGACGTCACTCCGCTGGGCCCCCCAGCAGCCCTCGAAAGTGGCGACGGTTTCGCAGATCGCAGCTCCCAAGGGATGGCGAGGGCTTACCTGAATCTGCGTAAGACGTCACTCCGCTGGGCCTCCCAGCAGCCCTCGAAAGTGGTGACAGTTTCGCAGATCGCAGCCACCCAGGGATGGCGAGGTCTAATCTGAGTCTGCGTAGGGCGTCACTCCGCTGGACCCCCCAGCAGCCCTCGAAAGTAGCGACAGTTTCACAGATCGCAGCCCCCCAGAGATGGCGAGGTCTAGTCTGAGTCTGCGTAGGGCGTCACTCTGCTGGCCACCCCAGCAGCCCTCGAAAGTAGCGACAGTTTCACAGATCGCAGCGCCCCAGGGATGGCGAGGGCTTACCTGAATATGCGTAAGACGTCACTCCGCTGGGCCCCCCAGCAGCCCACGAAGGTGGCGACTGTTTCGCAGATCGCAGCGCCCCAGGGATGACGAGGTCTAATCTGCGTCTGCGTAGGGCGTCGCTCCGCTGGCCACCCCAGCAGCCCTCGAAAGTAGCGACAGTTTCACAGATCGCAGCGCCCCAGGGATGGCGAGGTCTAATCTGAGCCTGCGTGGGGCGTCACTCCGCTGGCCACCCCCGCAGCCTTCGAAAGTGGCGACGGTTTCACAGATCGCAGCCCGAAGAGGAGGAGGGAAGAGAGGAGGAGGCGGGAGGAGGAAGAAGACGCGACCGCAGTGCTCCATTCAAAACGAGAACCCAACGCAGGAGGGTTGGGAAAAAAAACATATCCCAGTGCGACCCTTCTTAGGAGTTGGAGCCCCTAGGAAAGCAGCATTAGTAGTATCAGTAAAGCTAAGCTAACGCTAAGCTCAAGCTAAGCTGAAGCTAAGCTAAAGCTAAGCTAAGGCTAAGCTATCACTAAGCTAAAGCTAAGCTAAAGCTAAGCTGGAGCTAAGCTAAAGCTCAGCTAAGGCTAAGCTAACACTAAGCTAAAGCTAAGCTAAAGCTAAGATAAAGCTAAGCTGACGCTAAGCTGAAGCTACGCTGAAGCTAAGCTAAAGCTAAGCTAAAGCTAAGCTAAGGCTAAGCTAAAGCTAAGCTAAAGCTAAGCTAAAGCTAAGCTGAAGCTAAGCTAAAGCTAAAGCTAAGCTAAACCTAAGCTGAAGCTAAGCTGAAGCTAAGCTAAAGCTAAGCTAACACTAAGCTAGCACTAAGCTAAAACTAAGCTAACAATAAGCTGAAGCTAAGCTACAGCTAAGTTAAAGCTAAGCTAAAGCTAAGCTGAAGCTAAGCCCAAGCTAAGCTCAAGCTAAGCTAAAGCTAAGCTAAAGCTAAGCTAAGGCTAAGCTAAGGCTAAGCTAACACTAAGCTAAAGCTAAGCTGAAGCTAAGCTGAAGCTAAGCTAAAGCTACAGCTAAAGCTAAAGCTAAAGCTAAGCTAAAGCTAAAGCTAAGGCTAAAACTCCCAGGGGACTGGGGGAACCGCGGGGCGGGGACTGGGGGAACCGCCCGGGGCGGTTTCCAATGCCCGGCCCTTTAAGCTAAGAGAGTAAGAACCCTTCTAGGCAGAGCCTAGGTAGGGAACTACTGGGGACGATGTTTCGACCATTTGTTGGCCACGTTGGTGCGTGTTTCTGCTGCTGTTGACATGCTGGTGGTGTTAAGCCTCGAGCTCTCCCGCAGGCCTCGTGGCCCTCCGGGGGCGCGCCGCGGGCCGCGGGCCCGCGGCGTGGAGAGGCCCCCATGCCCCCCGAGCCCCACGGAGGCACGGAGGCTCGAGGCGCAGGGGCGGGGGAGGGCGGGGAATGATCCAGGTCATGATGTGCTTGTTCTGCGAGCGATTGTTCTACAGTGCATTCATCGTAGTATTCCTCCTCCTCCTCCTCCTCCTCCGCCTCCTCCTCCTCCTCCTCCTCCTCCTCCTCCTCCTCCTCCTCCTCCTCCTCCTCTCCTCCTCCTCCTCCTCCTCCCCCTCCTTCCCCTCCTCCTCCTCCTCCTCCTCCTCCTCCTCCTCCTCCTCCTCCTCCTCCTCCTCCTCCTCCTCTCTCCCTCCTCCCTCCTCCTCCTCCCTCCTCCCTCCTCCTCCTCCTCCTCCCTCCTCCTCCTCCTCCTCCCTCCTCCCTCCTCCTCCTCCCTCCTCCCTCCTCCCTCCTCCTCCTCCTCCTCCTCCTCCTCCTCCTCCTCCTCCTCCTCCCTCCTCCTCCTCCTCCTCCTCCCTCCTCCTCCTCCTCCTCCTCCTCCTCCTCCCCCTCTCCTCCTCCTCCTCCTCCTCCTCTCCTCCTCCTCCTCCCTCCTCCTCCTCCTCCTCCTCCTCCTCCTCCTCCTCCTCCTCCTCCTCCTCCTCCTCCTCCTCCTCCTCCTCCTCCCATGCCAAGAGACACCCTGCTTGCCTCCAAGGAGCCCTGGGTGTCTTGGGTTTCGATGGTCTTGCCACGGAAAGCGTCACGCTCCCGCAACAAACATGAACGGACGTCCTGGGTCTCAGGGTCGGGTTTCTTGTGGAAGGTTTCTTGTGGACTGGCCTCCGCTGTAGGCCTCCTAGGTGGGGTCCGAGTGAGTGGGGTCGGAGGATGGCGCCGCATCGCCGATGCACCGCCGATGCGGCTCGATGTGGGGCCCGATTTGTTTCACGTCGACGTCGCCGATGCACCGCCGACGTCGACGAGCCGATGCATCGCAGATGTTTCGGCGATGCGGCGCGATCCTCCGACCCCATCTACTCGGACCTCATCTAGGAGGCCTCCAGCGAATGTGCTCACGGATTCGGCCCTGCTCAGGTTTCTGGGTTGCGCAGATTCCCCCCCCCCTGGGCAGAGCCAGGGGGTTCGGAGGTCGGGGCGGGTCCGGCTGCACGCAGTTGCGACCCGAGGCAAGAGCCACGCTTTGGTGTGCGGCTGCAAGGGAGGAGGATGGAGGACTCAGGGGGATGGAGGATGATGGAAGAGGATGGAGGAGGATGGAGGAGGATGGAGGAGGATGGAGGGGGATGGAAGAGGATGGAGGAGGAGGAGGAGGAGGAGGAGGAAAAGGAGGAGGAGGAGGAGGAGATGGAGGAGGAGAATGGAGGAGGAGCAGGAGGAGGAGGAGGGAGGAAGAGGAGGAGGAGGACGTGGGCGCAGAGCCCAGACCGTCAGAGGAGCACTCCAGCGCGCCTCGCCCCCCCCACCACTTCCTCCTCCTCCTCCTCCCCCTCCCTCCTCCTCTCCTCCTCCTCATCTCATCATCATCCTCATCCTCCTCCTCCTCCTCCTCCTCCTCCTCCTCCTCCCTCCTCCTCCTCCTCTCCTCCTCCTCCTCCTCCTCCTCCTCCTCCTCCTCCCCCTCCTCCTCCTCCTCCTCCTCTCCTCCTCCTCCTCCTCCTCCTCCTCCTCCTCCTCCTCCTCCTCCTCCTCCCCCCGGCCCAGGCAGCAGCTCGAGGCGGGCGGCGTCCCCTGGCGCAGCTGCGAGGAGGCCTGGCAGGGCAGCGTGGCGCGCCGGAGGGGCCGCGTGTGGAGCCTGGCGCGCCAGCCGGACGACCTGGAGACGAAGGACGGCGCAGCCTGCTCCAACTCCCTCACCTCACTAATCCCCCCAAAAAAATCGGGACCCCCCTCCAAATGCGACCTAATGTTCCAGACCCCCATCTTCGGCGGAGCGCCTTGACAAGTCCCTGACTAGTCGACCCCCCCTTAAAAAAAGGGGACCCCCCTTCCAAATGCGACTCCCCTCTTCGGCGGAGCGCCTTGATAAACCGGACCCCTTCAAGCTCCAATCCAGAGAAAGCGCCCTGATAAACCGGACCCCCCCAGTGACAAAAAAGGCGCCTTAAAAGACCAGCCCTGGGGGACGATTAATAAGGGATTTGGAATAGCATTATCCTGTTCCAACCTACTTTCGCCCTGACCACCAGAAAAAGAATGTCGAGCATCGGGAAAGTACCGGAACTGGAGTGCTTTCGCGTGCCAGGCCCCGGGAGGCGATGCTCGTTCAACATTATTTCGATACCTTTCTGGGTGCTCGGAATTATGCCTGGGATGTGGTCCTCAAGTACGATGGGAGCAACAAAAGCCCAGCATTAAGTCGGGCACGTCCCTCTACAGGAGGAATGTTCAAGAATAGTCAAAAAATGCTCTGGGGACGATTTTCTTTGTAATTTTTTGCCGTTTTTGAATATTCGTTGGGTTTTGTTTTCATTTCTCCTCCCAGATCCGCCTGCAGGGGGACATGTCCGACCTAAGCCTAGCGTCCGCCGTGGTCGTCGGCGCCGGCGTCATCCGTGTCCACATCCGCGTGCGGCGTCGTCGCCGCCGCCGTCGGCGTCGTTGGGGGCGGCGGCCGTCGGCTCAGCCGTGGGTGGCGCGCCCGCCGGGCGAGTCACAGCGGTTGCAGGCGGCGGGCGGTGCCGCTCCCCTTTTGCATCAGGAGGGAAAGAAACACACAGACACAATTAATCGTCGATTTCCCAGAAAATATAGGAAAATATGGGAAGTGGTGGGAAAGACAAAAAACCCGAAAATATACGAAAATATAGGGAGTATTTTGATTTGCGTGTATTTATTTGTGTGTGCCAGGGCCCCTTCATTGTAGCCGCCATCTCTGGGATTCCGGGTGTTGTTCCAGCAGTGTTCGGCATGTGTTCGAGAGGTCATCCAAGGTTATTCTTGTGGGCTATCAGTTTTCCTTCGCTGCATGTTTCTTCCGTGTTGGCCTGCTGTGGCCCGTTCAAGGGCGTCGATAGCGTTGGGGCCTACAGGTTGAAACAGGCAAACAAGGATTGAGATTTGGCACTGGAGACTTTGGGGCCCCCTTCAATACGATTGCAGTGACACGAAAACGCACTTCCTACAAGCCAGCGGTTCACATGTGACCGACAAGCGACTACACGTCCTAGCACAAAGCGCCGACTACGAGACAGCACTACGACTTGGACGGTTCAGATATTGCAGTGGCTTCCAGCCAGTGCCGCCGATCCGGGGCGCTGCGGATGATGATGACACTGATGATGATGATGATGATGATGATGATGATGATGATGATGATGATGATGATGATGATGATGATGGTGATGGTGATGGTGATGGTGATGGTGATGGTGATGGTGATGGTGATGGTGATGGTGACGGTGATGGTGATGGTGATGGTGATGATGGGCCCCCCCCTCTCACCCTCTCTCCTGTCCCCCCCACTCACTCCTGTCCCCCGCCCCCCCTCTCTCCTTTCCCCCTCCCTCCCCTCCCCCTCTCCTGTCCCCCCCCCCCCTCTCTCCTGTCCCCCCCGCCCCCCCACTCCCCCCCCCCCTTTTCCTGTTCCCCCCCCCCTCTCTCCTGTCCCCCCCCTTTCTCCCTTCCCCCCTTCCCCCCCCCCCTCTCTCCTGTCCCCCCCCCCACCCTCTCTCTCCTGTCACCCCCCCGCCTCTCCCTCCCCCCCTCTCTCCTGTCCCACCCCCCCCCCACACCCCCCCTCTTCTTTCCCCTTCCCCACCCTCTCTCTCGTGCCCCCCCCCCTCTCTCCGTCCACCCCTCCCCCTCTCTTCCCCCACCTCTCTCCTGCCCCCCCCCCTCTCTCCTGTCCACCCCCCCCCTCCCCCCCCCCCTCTCTCCTGTCCCCCCCCTCTCCTGTCCCCCCCCCCCCCCCCCTGTCTCCTCCCCCCCCGCCCCCCCTCTCTCCTTTTCCCTCCCCCCCCCCCTCTCCGCTGTCCCCCCCTCCCCCGTCTCTCCTGTCCCCCCCTCCCCCCTCTATCCTGTCCCCCCCCCCTCTCCCCCCGCCCTCTCTCCTGTGTCCCCCCCCCTCTCTCCTGGAGCTGGCAGGGTGGGGGGAGGTGTCGAGCACAAACAAATCGTCAAGTAATCACGTCCCCCCCCCCTCCCTCCCAAGCAGAGCTAAAGCTCATGCTGAAGCAGAGCTTCAGCGTAGACTTCTTAAACTCACACGCCGGATCGGCGGATTTTGCAAGGCTGCTCACCAACGCGCCACGCATACTTCTGCGACTCATCGACCTCACGCACGTGCAGCTTTCACCGCGTGCTACCACTGCCACGCACTCCCACTAACAGAATCCACCCGATAACCCTCATACCTGCACTGGCGAGCTACCACAACCACAGGTACTGCCGGCCCACAAAGACAATCGAACACAGCACGATGTCTCGAGAACGCATGCGATGCACAGCCACATTACCTACGGCGGGTCGAAAAGGCCAGGTGCAGTGCAGAACGCATATCTCATGCGTGGACCAGGAGTGCACAGAAAGATGGCAGCAACAGCACCTACGGCAGCTAGAATTCGATAATGACGACTCCACCCCAGCTCCACCACAACCGCTAACAGTATACTCATGCTACGAATGCGGGCACACCTCCAACACCATTGTGTCCTGGAGAGCACCTCGCACAAGCAAGCACCCACAACAAGACGATATTGCCAGCAGAGTCAGCGACAGCACTTGCAAATTCGCTGGGGGATACAGGTCTCCACAAGGCAACGGCCCCGGAGGCACCTACGACACATAGTAGCACAAGCCGCCTATTCCACCCGACGCGATACAAGCACTACAGCAGAGCGACATAATAGATACGCGAGCCAATTGCACACAAAGAGTATGGGCGCATGCAGCAACCGCCCCAGCAATGCAGCCAGTTGGTCGCAAACGACAAGCACGTGAGCAGTTCGCTGCACCTATACCAACAGTAACGATTCTTGACCCACCACATGTGGTCCGCCAGCCCCTTGGCGACACCAAGACTAGCCCTGCCTACACATTTTTCTTGTTCCAGCACGACAGGCACTGCAACGACCTCCAGCAGCTCCGAGAACACGAGCATGTCGCACAGAAATATACGTGTACCAGCGTAGGTCACGAAGCCATCACACCACTTGACCAAGCACTCGCTGCCACCTTGTACTAAGTCGGAGTCATGCCGCTTTCTTGCCGGAAACCGCTGCAATCTGACATTTGAAGCTTGGCCAACGTAGAAACGCCTGCGACCAATTGCCTATTGCGGACCCTGCACCTGCGGGTCCAATCGGCGCTGGGTATGCGGGATACCTCTGCTGAGTGAAGTTTGAAGTTCTGCCGAAGTTTCAGAAGTCTGATTTGCAAGGGTCGAATTAACATGTGGTTGCCTCAGGAGGATGTGGACGACCCGAATCATCAGGGGTAACTCGGGTCAGGGCTAACTCGGATTCGTTTTTCGGGAATCCGAACCCGACTTACCCCGGACCCGAGTTACCCCGGATAATTCGGGCGTGCAGAGCCCCACATCATCAGGGGTAATTCGGGCCAGGGCTAACTCGGGTTCCTTTTTCGGGAATCCGAACCCGAGTTACCCCGGACCCGAGTTACCCCGGATAACTCGGGCGCCCAAGGAGAGGAGGAAGGCGATTCGGCGGAGCAGCAGGCGCCAGGAAGGAACGGGAGGGGACGGACCCTTTGCGCCGCTCCGCCGGCCGCCCCTGAGGACCCCGACCTCTTCCTCGCAGACGCCGCGGAGCAGCCCATCTTCCACTGGGCGTCCCGGGCCCCAGCTGTTCTTCCAGGAGGAGGAGGAGGAGGAGGAGGAGGAGGAGGAGGACCGCACGCGGCAAGCTCCGCGCCGTCAGAGCAGTGGAGCAGTCGCCGTGCCGAGCTGGGAGCTCGCGCGGGCCTCGCGCGCGCAGCACCCGACACTCGGCCCAGCGCGCGGGACGGAGAGCGCTTCGGCCCGCGAGGGCAGCCCCCTCGGACGCACCAGCGCCCTCGGAGCCCTCCGCGCGTGCCGCTGGGAGGCCTCCAGCACGGCCCCGCGGCGCCCCGCGGTGGCCGGCAGCATGCGGAGGGGCGCCGCCCCGCGCGCGCGCGCGGCGGAGCGGGCCCAGGCCCCAGCCCCCCCCCCGAGGCTTGGCATCGCTCGGACGTGTGCATTTGTTCTCCGGCGAGGACCATCGAGGAGCATCCTTGATCATTTGGCGAAAAAGCCACGCACGAAACCGACAAAAAACACAGGGAATGGACGTCCGAGCGATGGCCAGGAGGCAAGCGAAGCTCAGCGCGACTCGCGCGCCACGGCCGGGGGCCGCCGAAGAGGTGCCCCTCTCCCGAGGGCCGCGGCGCGAGGGCGCGCGAGGGCCGCCGCGCGCACCGGCGGGTGGCCGCGCCCACGGCCGCGCCCAGAGCCCCGCGGGCCTGCGCACGGCCGCGGGGTCCGAGCAGACGGGGTCGGAGGATCGCGGCGCATCGCCCGATGCGTCGGCGATGCAGCTCGATGCGGAGCCCGAGCTTCTCCGCGGCCACGTCGCCGATGCACCGCCGACGCCGACGATGCATCGCCAGTGCATCGCCGGTGCACTGCCGATGCATGGGCGATGCGGCGCGGTCCTCTGACCCCATCTACTCCGACCCCGTCTGTCTACGAGGCCTCTAAGGGCGGACGAGGCCGCAGAGACCCTTCCCCATTGGCCTCCGCTGGGCAGACCACACCCGAGCCGAAGGGAGCGCGCTGGCATGCCCGGCCCGCCCGACCCTCCCACGAGCGAGGTAGACCCCTGGCGTTGCAGAAGGGCCGCGCGTCGTGCTCCTGTGCTGTGGCCGGCTGGGGGTCCGTGGTGGCCCGGCAATGGTCCCGGGGAGGGGGGAGAGGGGGAGGGGGGGGGAGGAGGGGGGGAGGGAGGGGGAGGGAGGGAGGGAGGGAAGGGAGGGAGGGAAGGGAGGAGGAGGAGAGGAGGAGGAGGAGGGGAGGGAGGAGGAAGGAGGAGGAGGAGGAGGAGGAGGAGGAGGGAGGAGGAGGAGGAGGAGGAGGAGGAGGAGGAGGAGGAGGAGGAGGGAGGAGGAGGGAGGAGGAGGGAGGAGGAGGGAGGAGGAGAGCGGAGGAGGGAGGAGAAGGGGGGGAAGGCGAGGGGCGGGGGTCGAGGGTCGATGATTTGTGTGCCGTGTTCGACGTCGTGGTACAGGGTTCGGGCCCCAGGCCCCGGACCGTCAAAAACGGGCACGGAGCGCAAAGCTGCACCGCATGGACCCCCGTGAGGGTCCGGGCACCGATTTGGGGCGGATTTCCCCGCCTTCCTGACCGATCTCCTCGGGGTCCGTCCAGTCCAGACCCCCCCCCGCCGCTTCCAACGCACGTAGCCAAAAGACGCGACATCCGGTTGTTCATAATTTGCGTGGGGCGTCCGACGTCCTGAGAAAATCGAGGCGGAGCTGTGCCCTCAACTCCGGTTCCAGGGGCCAGTTTCGAGCCCCCCCAGGTTGTCAACACACTGTCCAGAGGGAAAGTTCGGTCTCTGGGAAAGTGTCCAGAGGTCCGATGGGCGCGCACAGGAAAGGAACACGACGTCGAAAGCTTAAAGTCGATTATGCGTGCCGATGTCTGCGCATGATGTCGATCGGGTCGGTCGCGCACAGTCACCCCCATTGACGCTCCCCCTCCTCCACGGATAGGCCGACTCGATCGGCTCGATGACGGGAGCAATTCGATCGATGTGTTATCAATGGCAACGTTTTCAGTCAACCCGCATGGTAAGGATGGGCAATTTTCCCGAGGGTACCTTTGCATCCTTGCATCCTCGGTCCATCATTGGCCGCTTTCGTTGGCCGCGTTTCGATCGAAGAGCTTCGAGATGGGCGTCCAAGGCCCTTTCATCCTTATCGCGCATCCTTATGATACGGGCCGACTGTACTTCGGACTCCCATGGTCGCCGAGGTTCAAGGAGAGGGGCCGCTGGTTCTCCGCTTTCCACACCAACACGGACGTCGTCGTCACGACAGGTTCGGGCCCCAGATATCGCCCGCGAGGATCGCAGCGAGGGTATGTTGTCGGAGGCCTAGAGCTTGACACCAACACCAAGATCGGCGGTGTGCTTTCACCGAGGAAAGATGCTTCCGAGTTCGGTGATGGTGGTGATGTTCGGGCTTTCTAAGTGGCCGAACTATTACCACCAACACCAAAATCTAGGATCATCATACCCCTGTGGAGGCACCCCCCCTGTGTTAGTGCCAGTGCCCATTTCCAGGCCTCCGATGTTGAGAATGTCGTTGCCACGATCCTCTTAGCATGCTCATCCCTAGTGAGAGGTTTTTCCGAAATTCCCCAAACGGCTCGCCCATTCAGTCGGTGTTCTTCGTCTGAAGATCTGGGGAACTGGCGCGCTCCCGCGAGACCAAACTTGACTGTGTCGCGCATTCTGGTTGCGCATCGGGGTTGCGAACGTGGTTTGCACATGGGTGTTATTGCGCACGATGGGGGTGCGAATGCGGGTTGGGGGGGCGATTTGGACACCCAAGGGGGGCCGCTCGGGCCCCTGGACAATCACCCTCCACGAAAGAAGTCCTTGGAATGGGGTCAAGAGTTCTTGAGCCCGAGCCGCGAAGAAAAAACACGATGTCGGAGGTTCGAGTAGGAGGTCGAAGGTGTTCGGAGGGTTGTCCCGTGACATCTCGTGATCCGTCGTTTCTTACCATTTCTGGCCGAAGTGTCGCCGCTATTTTGCAGGAGATGCCACCCTTCGGAAGGGCGTCCTTGGAGGTCCGTCCCCCAGCGGGGCACCCAAGATCGAAATTGAGCTCTGGGACCATTTGGGATATCAGAGCGCAACCCTCACACGTTTGACTCGGGTCGGCATACCATGCGAGCGGTGTAGTGTGGTGGTTGTTGGGATTGCACGTGATGTTTGCGTTGAGGTTATGTTCCACGCTCCCGCTCGCCCTCTACGGTCCTCCCCCTCTGCGGTCTCCTTGGCCCCCTCCGTCCCTTCCTTTCCCGCCTCTCCTCTCCTCCCGCTCTCACCCCGTCGCACTACTCCGCTCCGCTCCCCTCTGTTTCGCTGGACGAGCTCTTGCAAGGCTCACGAGGCTTGGTGGCGTTGGCGGGTTGCGGAAGGGACCCCCAGTAGTCTCAGGTTGTTTTGCGAGTCGGTTGGACATTGCGTTGCAGGCCACGGCAGTGGACCGTTGTACGCACGTATTAAGTTGAGAGTGCGTCCATATTTTTATCGCGTGTTCGCAACTCTGCCTTAGTGCTCATATTGATCATACGACCAGCTCACCACAGAAGGATTCCTCCTCTCGCACAGGCGGTCCGGGGCGGTCCGCTCCGCTCCGCTTCCCCCCACAGGAGGCCGCTGGAGGTCCCCCGAGCCTTCAACACTGTGAGAACGAAACAGAAGACATACAGAATCCTTCACCTTCGATACGAGGTCCTCGTTCCCCCCCCCATCGCACTCAAAACAGCCAGCTCCTGATGTGTCCCCTTAGAATACATTTCGAGCCAGTCGATCCGATTCGCTGACGATCCGCTGCGACCCGATGATTACATGGCGTTGGTGTGCATCCTGGCGCAGCCAATCGGATTCGATCTCAACTCCGTGCCGATGTAGCCCGTTCCGACGCACCTTCCGATTCGATCCGACTTCCCGATCTTGTGCCGGTTGTTCCTGCTTCCGCCACGCTGGCGGAGCGAAGGCCGCGTCTTCTTGTGGACGCGCGGCTTCTACAAGGACACCGCCCGCACAACATTCCCCGCGCTGGCGGCCAACAGGGGGGCGGCACTGAAGGGGCGTTGGCAGAGGTGCCCGTTCGCTCCTGCAGGTTTCGGGCACTATCGCGGAGCCCTGGAGGTTTCATTGTCTCGGGGTGCACAAACCTTGCCAGCAGCTGCGCCTCGCCGAAAGCGTTGCGGGAGTGCCTTGAAATGCGATTGGGGTGCAGACCCATGATGTGACGCGATGGCAGCTCCAGCTGCATTGCTGCCATTGTTTCGCTGCCTTCCAGGATCGACACTGAGCGCCCGATCTGATTTCACTTGGGCCATTCTTCCGGTGTTAATGGAGCGAGCAGCGGGCGTGGACCACGAGGCGAGCGTGCAGCACCAAGGATGCAATCTGAATTGTTGAACATTTGTCAGAGCCTCGGCAGTGAGAGCCATTGGATCGATAGGCCTGAGGTGGACACTGCCTTGAAAAGTAACTGGGTTGCAGACCCATGATGTGACGCGGTGGCAGCTCCAGCTGTAGTGTTGCTATTCTTTTGTTGTCCTTCCAGGATCGACACTGAGCGCCCGATCTGATTTCACTTGGGCCACTTCTCTGGTGCTGATGGAGCGAGCAAGGGGCGTGGACCACGAGGCAGCGTGCATCACCAAGGATGCAATCCGAATTGCTGAACATTTGTCAGAGCCTCGGCAGTGAGAGCCATTGGATCGATAGGCCTGAGGTGGGCACTCCCTCGAAATGCGACCTTGGGGTGCAGACCCATGATCTGACGCGGTTGCAGCTCCTGCTGCATTATTGCCATTGTTGCGATGCTTTTCCAGGTTGGACATTGATCACTCGATATGCATGTACTTTAACAATCGCATTGAGTTGGGTGGAGCGAGCAACGATTGAGGTCCACGAGTCGAGCGTGCAGCGCCAAGGATGCAACCCGAATTGCTGAACATTTGTCAGAGCTTCGGCAGTGAGAGCCATTGGATCGATAGGCCTGAGGTGGACACTCCTTCGAAATGCGACGTTGGGGTGTTGACCCATGATCTGACGCGGCTGCATTGTTGGCATTATTTGAATGGCCTCCAGCAAGTGTCGCCGATCCGGGGCGCTCCAGATGCTGGTGGATGGCACGACGGCGACGACGATGATGACCTCGACGCCGACAACGGACGACTTACGACTAACGGGACGAGGGAGGCGGGAGGCGGGAGGCAGGAGGAGGGGGAGGGAGTAGGGAGGAGTGAGGAGCGAGGAGGGAGGAGGGAGGATGGGGAGGAGGCGGAGGAGGAAGATGAGAAGGACGAGGACGAGCAGCAGGAGGAGGAGCAGCAGCAGGAAGAGCAGGATGAGCATTTGCATGAAGGAGGAGGATGAGAACGAGGATGAGGACGATGATGATGGTGATAATGATGTTGATGCTGATATGCTGATATACTGATGCTGGTGCTGATGATGGAGATGATGATGAGCCTGATGATGGTGCTGATGATGATGATGATGATGATGATGATGATGATGATGATGATGGTGATGATGATGTCTGACGCAGTGGCAGTTCCAGCTGCAGTGTTGCCTCTATTTAGCGGATCTGCCAGGTTTGACATTGAGCGCCCAGTCTGATTTTACTTCAGCAGTTCTTTTCGTTTGATGGCGCTAGCAACGAGTGTGGAAAACGAGGCAACCGTGCATCACCAAGGATGCAATCCGAATTGCTGAACATTTGTCAGAGCCTCGGCAGTGAGAGCCATTGGATCGATAGGCCTGAGGTGGGCACTGCCTTGCAATGCGACTGTGGAGTGCAGACCCATGGTCTGACACGGTATCCGCTCCAGCTGTATTGTTGCCAGTCTTGCGCTGTCCTGACAGGTTTGACATTGAGCACCCGATCTGTTTTTACCTCAGCAGCTCTTTGGTTTTGGGAGCGAGCAACGATTGAGTTCCACTAGTCAAGCGTGCAGCGCCAAGGATGCAATCCGAATTGCTGAACATTTTTCAGAGCTTCGGCAGTGAGAGACATTGGATCGATAGGCCTGAGGTGGACACTCCCTCGAAATGCGACGTTTGGGTGCAGACCCATGATCTGACGCGGTTGCAGCTCTTGCTGCAGTGTTGTCATAGTTTCGTTGACCTGCCAGGTTTGACATTGAGCGCCCAATGTGAATGTAACTTAACAATCATATGGGTTTGGTGGAGCGAGCAACGATTGAGGTCCACGAGTCGAGCGTGCAGCGCCAAGGATGCAATCCGAATTGCTGAACATTTTTCAGAGCGTCGGCAGTGAGACTCATTGGATCGATAGGCCTGAGGTGGACACTCCCTCGAAATGCGACGTTTGGGTGCAGACCAATGGTCTGACACGGTTGCAGCTCTTGCTGCATTGTTGCCATTGTTTCGTTGTTTTGCCCGGTTTGACTTTGAGCACCCGATGTGCATGTAATTTAACAATCATATGGGTGTGGAAGAGCGAGCAACGATTGAGGTCCACGAGTCGAGCGTGCAGCGCCAAGGATGCAATCCGAATTGCTGAACATTTGTCAGAGCTTCGGCAGTGAGAGTCATTGGATCGATAGGCCTGAGGTGGGCACTCCCTCGAAATGCGACGTTAGGTTTCACATCCATGATCTGACGCGGTTGCAGTTCTTGCTGCAGTGTTGCCATAGTTTCGTTGTCTTGCCAGGTTTGACATTGAGCACACGACGTGCATGTAATTTAACAGTCATATGGGTTTGGTGGAGCGAGCAACGATTGAGGTCCACGAGTCGAGCGTGCAGCGCCAAGGATGCAGTCCGAATTGCTGAACATTTGTCAGAGCTTCGGCAGTGAGAGTCATTGGATCGATAGGCCTGAGGTGGGCACTCCCTCGAAATGCGACGTTAGGTTTCACACCCATGATCTGACGCGGTTGCAGCTCTTGCTGCAGTGTTGCCATAGTTTTGTTGACCTGCCAGGTTTGACATTGAGCACCCGATCTGCAGGTAATTTAACAATCATATGGGTTTGGTGGAGCGAGCAACGATTGAGGTCCACGAGTCGAGCGTGCAGCGTCAAGGATGCAACCCGAATTGCTGAACAGTTGTCGAGCTTCGGCAGTGAGAGTCATGGGATCGATAGGCCTGAGGTGGGCACTCCCTCGAAATGCGACGTTAGGGTGCAGACTCGCCATTTGGCGCGGAAGCGTCGTCAGATTGGTTGGGTCAATTGTTGCGCCCCCACCTCAGTTCGGACATGTTTGCTAGGGATGCCCAGGCCGCGCACAGGATTGAGGTTGTATGGGTTTGATTTGCTCGGTGATGCCCGGGAGTCACAAGGCGAACGTGCATCTCCAAAGGCGTAAGCGAGGTCTCTCTCGCATCGCGGGGGGTACGTCCGGAGCACGTTAAGACTGGCCGTTTGATGGGCCTGTTTTCCACCACCACCACCACCACCACCACCATAAGTTGGAGGGGGAGAGGGTCCTCCTCCTCATCCTCTTCCTCTTCCTCCTCTTCGTCCTCCTCCTCCTCCACCTCCTTGCCCCCTACGGGGTGGTGGTGGAAAGTAGGCCCATCACCGTTGGCGGTTTGCCCTGGTCGTTGACCGACAAGCATTGCCGCGTCCTTCTGCCCGCCGCAGGGCGCTGCCAGCGCCACGGGGGGGCCGATCCCTCCCCCCGCGTGAGTGCCCGGACGAACGTGGGAAAGTCCATGAGTCGGGGGTGGACAGAACCCCCAACAGTGACACGTCGAATAGTGAATTGTCCGTTTTCGGTTCTCGAGAGGGCGCCGTGGCCGTTATTTTCCAGGCTTGCGCCCGCCAGGTTTGGGCCTCAGGTCGTTTTCACTAAACCACGTTTTACTAAAGGGGGGTCTGTCCATCCCCGAAATGAGCATTCCGATGAGCATCGCAGAAAAGCGCGCCATTCGTGTACAATTCCGCGGGCCTCTCGGTGGTTTCTTGGGGCCTTTGGTGGGCTTCTTGGGGGCATCTCTGGAGGCTTCTTGGGGGCCCCTGAAAGCCTCTTGGGTGCCCCTTGGGGGCCCCTTGGGGGCCCCTTGGGGCCTCCTGGGCCGTCTTGGGTCGCTCCTGCGCCGTCTGGCAATTTCGCAGTCCGTCTTGGGGGCCTCTCGGGGCCGCCTTGTTGCTCTCTTGGGGTCCTCTTGGGCCATCTTGGGGACCTCTTGAGCCTTCTTGGGGCCTCTGTGGGCCATCTTGGGACCCTCTTGGCCAGTATTGGATGCCTCTCTGAACCGACTTGGAGCCCTCCTGGGGCGCTTCAGGGCCGTCTTGGAGGCCATGTTGGGCGTCTCGGAGGGCTCTTGGACCATCTTGGGGCCGTCTTGGAGGTCATCTTGGAGGCCTTTGGGCCATTTTCGGGCGATCTTGGGGGCCTCTTGGGCCGTCTGGGGCTGTCAAAAGGACGAAAAGAAGCAAATGCCAAAATCCTTACAAAGCCGATGGAAAATCAATGATGTTGGCTTCTTCGGGCCCTCCTGGAGGACCTCTGGGAGGCCTCTTGGGCCGTCTTGGATGCCCCTTGGATGCCTCTTGGAGGCCTCTGCGGCCGTCTTGGAGGCTTCTCTGGCGAACTTGGAGACATCTTAGACTCTCTTGGACCGTCTTGGAGGCCATCTTTGACGCTCTTCGGCGCACTTCAGAGCCATCTTGGCAGTTTGGGAGGCCATCTTGGGCCGTCTCGGAGCCATCTGTAGCATGAGAGACCTTTGCAACCACCTCACCTGGAGCTTTCCGGGTGGCTGGCGCAATGGGCCGAAGCCCCAGGGGAAGTTTTTTCGGAGAAAGGACCGAAACCAAGCCGTTTAGAATTCAGCACGCCAGGATTTGTCATAAATCAACAGGGGGCGGCGGATTCTGAGTTGCCTTCGGTCCATGGGGCCCTCGTCTGGGCCTCTCGGGGGCCTCCTGGAGCTTGTGGGGGGCTTTGGGGGGCCTGCTGGTAGTCTCGGACGTCGTTTTGGGGCGGAGCGCTCGAAATATCGGCCACTGGGGCTCCTCGTGGGCCCCATCTCGGGTTT